ACAAAATATAACATTGCTAAAAATGAGTTATCAATTTTAACCAGCTTCCACACAAACCAACACATCAATTTTAATTTTCACACTAATATTTCAAAATCTTTTATCATGTAGATCAAATGCTAATTTCATATGGAGTGAGTCTGTGATTAGCAACCTGAATATAAGCAGAGAAGGTATCATGAGACAGGGTTAAATCCAATTTTAGTTCAAATCTAGATCAGACCAAATGATATAAATTAAACTTACTAGTCACAACTAAAAAAGGTAAAGGCTTTCTCTTGACATGAATGTCTAGTCATAACTGACTGTAGAGGCTGGTGCTCATCTCCGTTACTAAGCTGAAGAGCTAGCGCTGTCCAAAGACAACTCCAGTGGTCATGTGGCCAGCATGACTGCATGGAACGCAGTTACCATCCCACCGAAGTGGTACCTATTTATATACTTGCACTTCATGCTTTTGAACTGCTAGGTTGGCAGAAGCTGGGACTAGTGACAGGAGCTCACCCCGTCATGCAGCACTCGGGCCTCGACCTGCAAACCTTCCAATCTTCTGATGATCAGAATTGGCAACTTAACCACTAAGCCACCACAACTAAATAAAGTCTTATTGGTTGCATTGGGTCTACTTTAGATAATATTAACATTAACCTTAGGGCCATTTCCTGAGCAAAGATAAAACAAAAGAAGAGAATGAGGAATATTGGCAATAACTACAGCAAGTAAAAGCAACCAGAATATATCAACGTGTTGTGTGCCTTCAAGTCATTTCTGAAAAAACAACTTTAAAGCAAACTTATCATGGTTTTTCTGGGGTTGAGTGTGCGACTTGCCCAATGTCACCCAGTGGTTTTCCATGGCCGGAACAAGGAATCGAACCCTGGGCTCCAGAGTTGTAGTCCAATGCTCAAACCACTACACCAGACTAGCTCTCATATATTAACTACAAAACTATTTAACATGCAACAACAAAAAAGACACTTATAGCAGCAAAGTGTATGTTTGATAAAGTCTTGTGGTACCAAGAAACTTCATTTGGTCTAAGCCATCAAGGACCATAAGCTATTCAATCAGATGCATGGATTAAATCAGATGCTCCTATTGTCAGGTTTATTCATATTGTCACAATAGCAGTGAGAATTGTGCAGACTGTAAGCAACTCCAAAGTCTTGGCTGGACCTACATTAAAGAAACCCCAGACTCCATCCCACCCCAAATTCAAAATCCAGAAGATAAAATCCAGAAGATAAAAATCTCTCTCCTGGAGGATGTGTCAAGAACAATACTATACCTTAAA